AATTATCCTGGAAGTAATTTTTTTTTTTTAGCAAAATAAACGTTGAACATTTAAGCTACAATGTTTTACCTTGTTGAATTTTCTTTCAAGTTTTAGTGCGTTTGAAAACTGTTAGTATGTACTAAATACAGTAATGTTAATGTCACGTTACACATCTTCTAAGATTTTTATGGTCACTCATTTTTTTTTTTAAGAATCTGAAATGACCATGTCAACACATTGTAAAATAAAGCTGTGCTTATGAGGATTGCCATCTCTACTAAGGACATTCAGTCTAATCAAACTTTAGATATGCTTTTCCTTCAGTTCAAGGTATTGGTTCATTAGCAAGTGACACTCATAAGCTTTTCCTTCCCAATAAATTGTTTTTATACAATAAACTTAGAAATTCTCTTTTCAGTGTAAATTGTACCCTAAAAGCCTAAACCTGCACCCAGTCATTACGAAGTATCTTGCTGTCTTTCTTGCAGTGTAAACAAATCGGCTTTCTAATGTTTGATTTTTTTTTTTTTTTACACACTTCAAGGTTCCACATCTAGAGACAGAGTAATATGTTACATTTGAGTCATGCTTTCACCACTGTGTAATTAAAAGTTGGGGATCCTGTTTACCTGTCTTAACTGGTTCCTTTTCACAGCTTACCATGCTAATGTACTTCAATACATATTCAGGACCTCAAAGAATAAGGCGTCTTCATGACGACGTGTATCAGGATTCTCAAAATAATTTGCTTTTAAAAATTACATAGTTTATCACGATAACTTAAGAATGCAGATCTTATGAACCCCTATCTGAGTGCAGCTGTTCTTTTTGGCTTGGATGAAGGCTTCAGCCTGTTCATATAAGAGAAGTCATACACCAGTTTTGCATAAGCTTTTTCATAATGTCTCTTTAGGTTGTAATAAGCCTTTATCTGCAGAAAGTCACTGCTAATGTGCAAGACAGAATTCAAATAATATTTATAGATAATAGACATGTACCGTACACCATGGGTGTCTTGCAACAAACACAGCTAACGAACAAGGCTGTTAGGTATGTTCTAGAATTTCATTGTGTAACTGTCTGATGTGAAGTTTGAGAATTACTAGTTAGTGTTAGAAATGATCTGGTACCTCAAGAAGAACAGTAGAACATATTTGAAATCCCACATGAATTTTCCGTCACCAGATATTGCACAGTCTATTATGATAAAGGCAAGACTAGCCTGATTCACATAGAAGTCTGATAGTAATGGTGGGACTGAACTTGTCAAACTCAAGACTTGTATTTCTAACGTTAAATCCTTAAATATCTAAAGCTGCAACTTTTAATTCACCTGCTTTTAAAAAAAAAAAAAAATTAAAAAATACAGTGCTCAAAAGCAGAGTCACCTTGACTGACCTGGGCATTATATGATGAATATGAACTTGAGCACTTTGATTTTAATGGTCTTACATATTTCCTATATTGTCATGATGCTGTTTTTGCTGAACAGATACTATAATAAAAACAGTTTTAAATGTCTCTTGTTACTTTCGTGAGCTCTTTGGAGCTGCCTTTTCTTGTAAGAACAACATGTTTTCATCTAGTCAATGGCAGCTTGATCTTTAGGTTAGGTAACCTAAAGGCTAGTAGGCTAGATGCACACTACTGGGGACTTGAGGAAAGTTTCAAGTTCATGACCACCCTACAGCATACTAAGGAGGATTGATGAGGTCAGAATAATGCTCTCTGGTCAAGTCTTAATAGCTTTTTGGTAGAAGAAGCTGTTCCTCTGTGGTGATACAAAGCCGTATTAAGTATTCTCATAGAATGAATTTGTAACATTGGCAGCTTATATGGAAAAACATTGGTGTGGTGATATATATCGTCTTCGCCGAAATACTTTCTTAATTTATCCTGAGAAAGAATCTGATGTCAGGTAAATAGCTTTAGAGTGTCTGACCTCACCTCATGCTGTAAAAGGGGATACACTTTCCCGATTCTTAGAGATAGCAGTGCCAGTCTTTCAGTGAAGGAGTCATGGACCTATGATGCAAGGCATGTTTTATGTAGTGTAGGTTGTACTGATGACATCTCATTCTATAATTTAAATATAAACAAAAGCCACTATAAGACTACCTATAAAATGTAAATCCATGTTTATTTTTAAATAGGGGATGGATTTTTTTTTAATCACATAGGGGCTACAGCAATTACTACGAGTAGTCTGAATAAAAGATTTTTAGTTTATTAAATAAATAGGAAATATGTGTTAATCTGAAAGGCTAATTTTTTTCAGCTGAAACTTGTATTTACTAGCCCTATAGTTCGTGGCTCTTGGCATAAACCAGCTTTCTATAGTTTGGGAGTGAATGTGGTTTGGATATTAAAATTCGAAAACTCAAAATACAGTGGTATGTTTTATAATGGTGGAAAAAATGATCACTCGCGTGATCATATGAATGAAATGTAATATGTTATTAACATCTTGGTGCTGTTTTTACAAAACTCATTGTTCATTCGTTCACTTCGGAGTAGAGACGTCTTTCTACTACTAAGTGATACCACCCTGACAAATACTAGATTCCTTTTGCAAAATTTTGCTGAGGTCAGAAGAACGATCAAGTCTTAGTAACTTTTTCGGTGGAGGACGCTGTTCCTCTGTGGCGATTATAAAGCCTTATTAAGTATCCTCGTTAACGTTTCTGTGAAATTACCATAACTGGATGCTAACTCTAGCATTAAAGGAAACAGGAGCCAACTTGAATGCAGATGATGTATGTTTAGCTGTGCTGTAAATTATTAAAATGGCTGAGAGCTGTGAGTTGAAAATATTTCAATCATTAACTTTACCTATTCTTTATATATTAAATTGTAGTTTAAGTGGCTTTTTTTTGAGTGAAATGGTACATATAGGACAGAAGGAGATTTAATGGGCGTAAATAAACCTCTTTACCTAGTTCATGTCTTCACTTTGCATAACTGATAGATGCCTCTTGGATGATCAAAGTTCAGCAACCATGTTGTGTTTCTTCTACGAAGTGCCCATCCACCATTTTAGAAGTACTTCACTTTTGTGCTTCCATTTAATAGCAGCTGTTGGATCGCATTTTAAACGCATGTTTCAAACCTCTGTATTTCATATTCGTTTGGATATTTTGCGTGTTTGTGCCAGTTTACTACACTATTTTTTTTATCATTTCCCCTTTCTAAAGGGATCTTTTTCCATATTAATTTCAAGTAAATTACATCAACAAAGAAATTACAATTCTGTTCATCACAGCTTGCTTTCTTTCTGCACATCTGAGTAGCTATCAGTTTGAAGAGGAGAATTTAGAAGATTGTAGAAGATTACGCATAGTATAATATCACTGAATAGGTTCATTAATTTTTACGTATTTGAGGCTGTATTCCAATATAAATAGATTCTGAGAGATCATGAGAGAAGCAGTTTGCTTGTGCATGTTAGGTGGATAACTTTTGTGGCTCATGATAGTGGATGACCTCATGCAGTTGAAATTTACAGTAAAAAAAGAGGGGTTCATGAGTTGTTCTAGAGTTTTAGGTCTTATTTTAATCTTACTACCTCTGCTTAAGGTGATTTTGCTTAAATATTTGTTGATGTGGATTGCCAATAAGTGTTTTCAAATTTTGGCCTTGCACATATATGGATAACTTGTTCCATATTAATGTGTTAAATAATTCCACTGCATCTAGCTGATACCACCTCTTAGTAAAATTAGTATTTTAATTACTTTTATGTGAAGGGCAGATCAGTTAGTTTCAGCATACTTCTACTTGATGCCCGATTGATCTTCTTCAAAAATTTCAAAAAATAATTTTTTTCTTTTTTGTTGCTTTGTTTCTCAAGGGATTTGTGTATAGGAGCGAGTCTGAATTTCTTGGGTGGTTTGCACAGGTTTTTTTGATAACAGGTTGCCTAGTGATACTTCAGATTTTTTACAAAAATGTCTTTTGTACTGTATGCTGTGATCTGTCGGGAATGGTGTGGTGGTTTTTTTTGTTTTCATTTGAGGATAGGGCTTTTATAATAGTCTTAGGCTAGTGCTCTAGTCTTTTAGTTTTTAATTTTCTTTTAATTCAAGTGTTTCTACAGATGGGTTGAGGAATTCATTTACTCACTGTAAGCAAAATAACTGCTCTTGGTTGAAGCACTGGTAAGTTGTTATTCCTAATAACGTTTACTTTTTAGCTTTAAAAAAACCCGAACGAGCACACATGGCTATAATGTTTAACTTGCTGAAGTTTTGGGCTGAATACATCCTGAAGCTCCTTAAAGCGTGTCTGTGTGCACGTGTGTTTCTAGAAGGCTCAGTTAGAAGGACCACAGGAGCGTTCTTGCTGGGCTCTTAGGAAATAAAGCTATACTTGGATAGTACACTCAAACCTGTCTCGCTGGAGAACAGCTTTCATATCTAATTGTAGTTCTTTGGTCTTCTGCTTATGTGATTTGACTCCATATTTCGTTGAGAACTTAAATCATAGATTTGCTTGTTCAGAAGGGTTTGGTACACAAATGTTTGTCTCTACAGAGTAGAGACGATTTGGATAACACACGATTTGGATAACAAATGGTGTGGAAAGTATCATAGCAGGAAGAACTTGTCTTACAAGCATCTCGTGTTGTCCTTTTATGCTTCTGTCAGGATCAGTGAGGGTCTTTGAGCAGATAGTAACTGTCTTCTGTTGTATGATTGTTCTGTTTCTGTTCTTCATTCACAAAGCTTCAGCTTTGCAGAAAATGGTATGTAATGGCGATACAGTTTCCTGTATTAAACTGCTAGCTGATAGACTTCATTTAGGAATCATTCCTTATATAGTCAAAATGCAAAATTGGCAGGCTTCTGTAGAAAAATTCATTCAGTTCTATACTGGATGAATATGGGGATAGGATTTTTTCCAGTTTCCTTTACTAAAAGGAATTTGGTCTTGATGACCTTTTGCTGTCTCTGGCACTTCTGTGACTCTTGGGAGTTGTCTCTGGAAAGACCCGAGTCCTTTTGTCTTCCTTAAAATTCAGACTCCTTGATTCTACATTTTTTAATTAGGTCATCCATTGCATTTTGTGTACATTAATTAACTTTTTTTTTTAGTGGGAAGCTCTATTCCTGTAGAACTATGCTTCAGAATATATGCTTTTCTTTAAAAGAGACAATTTCTTGGAGACAGTTCTTTCAGTATGACATGCTACCTGATTGAGTAATGCCTTTCTTAGACTGCAGACAGCTTGAGAAAATGTTGCTCCAAGATGCAAATATTCTCTCGTTTCCGTGCATAGATGGTAGTGATTTTTAACTGTCCACTGGCTATGTCTGTTAGCAGAGACCTTCAGCAACCATGCTTACCTTGTACAAACTGCCATCTGTGCTGCCTCAGGTGCTAGAAAAGCAGCTACTCCCTGTCCATACTCCAAAGTCCCATGCTTTCTTCTGATCTACTCACGTGATGTGGACACTAACGTGCAGCTCTTTTGAAAGGAAAAAGGAGTATGTGGGGGTAAGGTGCAAACCTCAGTAGGCCACATTATCGTGGCCTTGTGCTGCTTTTAGTTACATTTCATTTTGAACCAATTTTATCACTGAGTTTTCAGTCCTGAAGCAAAACAGTAGAATTCACGAACTTTGAGGAATTCAGTTCTTATTGTGCGTACATGTACTCAGTTTTGATGATCTTTGATTAGTGTTTCATCTCTTCTACTACTGTGTTCTGTAAGTTTTATTACTTTGTTCTTTCAGAAGTCTTCAGCTATTTTTCACACTGCAGGTATGTGTAGAACAGCATATTTCTTGCTATGTTAGAAGTAAATGTTACTCCTTCCAGCTGTTCCTCAGAACTTCCTATGCTGTCCACTGTTGCCTTTTTTCCCCCCAATCACCTGCTATAATCTCTACACATGTGACTCGTGTTCCATTTTTATATTAATCTTCATCTATTTCCTATATCTTTCTGTGTGCATTTTTTCTGTTTTCTCTTTGGATTGTAAATTAGCTGTTGTCAGATCTAGTTTCTTGAGCAGGAATTTGGCTTTTCAGTTACACACTGAGTAATTCTTCCATCCTTTTGTTTTGTAATCCCTACCTAAAGGAAGGGGTGAATATGAAACTCTTTAATTGACTTAGAAACAGTTGTCTTCAAAAGAAGTTGCTTGAAAATGCATTTGTAAAAACATCCAAATGTATGGATCTTGAAAGATCTAGTATTACCCTCTCTGGTTAACATAGATAATGTTTAGTTGAAGCACTGATTTTTTTTTTTTTTTTTTTTAACAGAAGGGGAAAAATACTTGAAAACACCAGGAGTTTTATTGAAGTTGGCATACTTTGCTTAATGCAATAAAATTTATTATTTAAAAATAATACCCACAAAGAGTGCATCTGTGAATAGAGTAATATTTTACCTGAAATTGATCTCTAAATCGGAGAAACCTGGCAAACAGCATTTCTCAGCTAAAAATACCTGATCCTACACGAGTTGTGCTTTTATGCTGTGCTTACTGAACATCTAATAGTGGTAAAAGCGGACTTAGGACTGTCCAGAGTACTTAGTTACTTTTAAAGATTGGACAGAACATCATTATGGACTTTAGATGTCAATAGAGGGCACGTCTGCTTTTTCCTCTAGTGTAAAAGTTACCAGAGACGTGTCTTTGAGAATAAAATCTTGCTTTAATGAACTTTGAAGTGTTGAACGTCAGGTTTGGTTTGCTCAGAACCTCATTCTGTCCATTCAGCTCCCTCTGTTGGAGTGAATTCCCTTTACTAGCAGTGTGTCACCTTCGTTTTTAACTTTTAAGCCTCAGTGTGAGAGATTTCGCTCTGGAAAACTTTGTAAATGTATTGGTGTTTTATGCACTTGCGGTGATGCATGGGTGATTTACATGTTATTGGCCTTCAATCTCATACTTAAGAAGCGCAGGGTTTTGATAGATGTGAAATTGCTGAGGCCATGGTTTTGGCCATAAGAGATGTCTTTTATTGCTGTGGTCTCTTAATAGGTAGAGCAACAAGTAAGGAATTACAAAAAAAAGAAGAGAAAAACTTTGTAAACTCAGATATTTCAAAACTGAAACTGTTGCCTTAAACTTTTAGGCATGGTTGTGAATGGTTTCTGTCTGTTGATATGGAGTGTCAATTGTTACCAGTGATTTGAAGGAAACTTTGAAAGTATTACATGACTACCCAGGTCCCTTACTTATCATGACCAAAATACTGTGTTTGGAAACAAATACTGTAAATAGTAGATAATAAAGTTTGAAAAATGGGATGATGCCTAACTGATGCTTACAGAAGGCATGAAATATTCATGTAATCTAGCAAAAAAATCAGGCTATTCAATATCTACCTTAAGCGTAGGATCACTGCATATGTCTTAGTGGAGAAGGAGTATATTTTTGCAACATTATTGAACCTTCTTAGTACAATGTGGCTTAATTCGTAAGTAAACAAATGCTGTGAAATCTTTTAAAGCAAATGTGGATTTCACATGAAAAAGTGTACAGATTGCTATTAATATTTTGGCCATTACTGTGGCATCTTTTTGATGTATGAATAACTTTTAGAACAAGGGCTGTTGTAGCATGTTCTTAATTATAATATATCATCAGTTCCGTTTACTGCTAATTATTTTAAAAGGGCAAGAGAAGAGTTTAAAATGAATGTGGCGGGGTTATTTGCAAAGTTTTTGGTACAGCCAAATGTAGGTGGGGAACCTAGTAGGGAAGCTTGCTCTTAAATTGTTTTTGGCAGATCTCATTAGTGTCTAAGGCCGAAGGCTAACCCAACTGAAAAGAGCCTTTCAAGATTGACTAATATGTAACTAAATTACATTTTTGAGAGGTGGGGAAAACTGATGCCAGTAATTAAATTTCCTTATGTTAAGCTTCTTACAGTAACTATAAAAATTACTTTAACGGTCTTATTTATGGGGTTTCCACTGTGCTCATGTTAGTATTTCTGAATATTTGATTGTGACAATAATGGACAACTTTGTAGTGGTTTATTTTTCATGTTTTGGTACCTCGGTCAAGGCATTAGCATTAAAAATTATTCGAAGTTTTAATTTATCTTCAATTTATCTTCAAATGCCTAAATTTGATTAGGCTAGTCTGGTTAGGCTAGTATACCAATAAGAACTAAAAAAAAAAAAATCCCCAAAACCATAACAACCCCAAAAACCTGTTAATTCAGTTTAGTGTGGGGGAAAAAAAATATTCCAAAATATTTAATTCCTGTCTTAACTATGGATGAGTTGAATGCTCGAAACAAAGAATTTCTGCAAACTTGAATGTTCAACTTCTGGTTCTGAAAATGTGAAGATCCTGTGGTTGAATACTATTACAACTACGCACGTTGCACAGTGCAAAGCAAAGTGAATTACCAGATCCTGCATTCCACTTCTGTGTGCTTTTCCATTGTATTTAAAACAAGGAAGTCTATAGAGGAGTATAAAACAGGACATATGGGCAGTTATGAAAGTCAGACTGAGGCTTGTTGCACTGGTTCCATTGCTGTTTGCTTTGCTATAACTGGTTATTTTGAAATGAGAATGGGGAAACTGGGATGATGAGGCAGAGACCACTAGATGGCTCCACTGATTGTTGCTGTTCTGTGGGTAATTTCTGCATCACTTGTTGTAAGAATCTGCCCAGGATTATCAGGGGAACAACATAGTGGTGGAGTTGGCTTTCAGACAGAAATGAGGTTAAAGCTATACACATTCAAAAGAATAAATTGACGTTGGAGTGCAGATACTCAAAATCGTGAAGACATTTTAAAACCTTTTTTCTATGCCAGTCTCTTCTATAGTTAGCATTGGTTTTAAAATTATATTCTTAACACTTAGTAACTTCCTGTACTTGATTTTTGCACGTTAGGATGAGTAGGTTTTTTTTTTTTTAAGTACATGAGCTTATTTTTCTTGGAAGAAAATATAAAGATAGGGACATTTGGTTTGTATTTATCCATGTGGAAGTCATTTGATCAGTTTGGTTTGTCACTCACCTGTGGGCTTAGTTGCTGTTATATGAAGAGTAAAGTTGGAATATGGATCAGGAGTAGTATGGTGGCCTTGCTAAAGGCAACTAGCATAACTGGTTACCATTTTCGTCTGACTTCTGACACGTCCTCTCCCACCAGTAACTAAACCAGTCATTCCGTTTGCTTATAAGTGTATGTTTGCTGTTGCACTCTGTCTTTCATGAGCTGGAAAACTGGGTTAAGATGGTGGACTGTCTTGTCTCCAGTCACCATCTGTATGTAGGAAACCAGTTTTCATGCCTGTTACATTGGTTTTGATGGATCTATGTCTTTGAAGAAAGGCGCATGGGCAGTAGTTAAAAAATTTGGCTTATTGTAATAAACTTGGTTTTCCACTAAGCAGTGTTAGCTTTAGTAGATGGGTCAGTCCAATAAAGATGGTTGCCAGACCAAATATCTCAGATTTCCCACTGTTGATTTCTCTAGTGTTTTAACACTATGGAGACATTTCAAATGAAATTTATGGAGCCTGAAAGGGTTCTTGAACTTCTAATTGTTCTTCCGCTACTTTATAGTTTTGGTTAAAGTTTATATTTTTGATTCTTGAACTGATGATTTGATATTGTTTGTTCATGATAAAAGTAGATGTTCTGGAATGTGTAATATGGAATGAAGCATCAGTTATATGTTTAAACTATCTTCAAGGTACAGTAGTTGAATGTCTTAGTTTAAAGATATGATCTGTATTCCAACAGCATTTTTCTTTTAATTTTCCATAAAGAATCCAATCAGATGAAGAGTGTCAAAAGGAGTCTACGAATGAGACACCAAGATGGCAGTTCCACTGTTGATTGAGAGGTTGAGGAAATGGACTAATGCATGAGTGCTGTGATATGTCTGTCCAAGCAAAGGATGTTAAAACGTGGACTCTCGTGTTATTAAACCAGAGAAGATCTGGGTTGTGATCATCCTATCAAAATGGACTTTGCACTTGAATTAATCAGGGGACTGTATCAGTGACTATCCAATGATGGATCTGTTTGAGGACTGGGTGGCAAAATTTTACTCTTGGCTTGTGTATGCATAACAGGCAAATTCATTTGGTAAGAGATCTGTTGCTACCACTTTGGAGAAAATGTAATGTTTTTTTTTTTTAAGTGATTTAATAAAAGGTTTTGGTTTCTTTCACACTTTGTGTTTGTCCTTTCTGGCTGAATGTTTTTTTACTGTTATTGTGTTGATATTGAAGTGGGTTTTTGGTTGCTATTAAAGTGAGAAATACTTCAGCTGCTAAGCACTAAAGGCAAGGTAAAATTTTGTGCTGTACTTGATTTAAAATGTGGTTTTCATTTGCAAATTATCTTCACTTTGCCATGACTTCCAATGAATTTTTATTCTCTGGTTTGTTCATTCAGGTTAATGTTAGGGGTTTTTCAGTACTTGGCCTATTGTCAGGGTACTTCTGCTGAGCTTTCTGAAGTTATTGTAAGATAGAATTGATATCAGTTGAGGGCTGGGCAAGTATGACAATAAAGGAGTACTTGAATGTTTTGTGTAACTTTTTTAGGTATGCTTCTACGGTTATGTATGGGTACAGAAACTTTTCAACAGATTTCCTGACAACATACTTCCTAAATGGTCTATTCTGTCTCAGAATTGTTCTGTGTAAGTGTCCAGTCTGCTTCACCACTATTAAATGTAGGTTTAGCTGTGTGATACTGTACCATGTGTTTGATGAGAAAAAATTGAGTTATTTTTGATATTGTTACAGATGACATGTTAATGTTTACAAATGAATTTTAAAATGGTTCTAATGTTCAAAAAACAATTTCCTTTCAAGTTCCTTGTGGATCAAATAGTTAAACTGTAGCCACCTTCCTATGTATGTTTCACCTGAAATTCATAGTTGTCTTTGTTCTATGCTGGAGGGCCAAGATGACAAAGCTGGTCTTGAGATAACCTAGGTGTTTTCTTTTAAAAATAACCAAAATACAAACAAAACCAAACAAAACCCCATTGTGTGTGTTTAACCATTTGGCTTGCTCAGACTTCTTTGTAAATACCCATTTTTAGTATGATGAATTGTTCATACCTGTTTAATCTAGCTGTTTTGATGATAGACACTTGCTTGCTCAAGTTTGGTTTTGCCGTGTGTTACATGGTGGAGTTGGATATTGGGACCAACCTAAAGGGATCCCCATTCAGATGAGTGGATTTCCTTAGTGTTGCCCAAAATTGCTTGGAATGGTCTTGCGTTGTGTTTTATAGTTTTTGTAGTTTGGGTGCAAGGGGTCTTCTATAAATAATTGATAAACTGAAATTCTTTAAAATGGACTGTGGCAACAGAGCGTACCTACTCAAACCTCTTGATGTGGAAAGATGATAGGTTGTTGTAGGATGTTAATGGCAAGTGTGTGGAGGAGTTGATGGGGTCTATCTTGGTTCTACTGGTAGAAGCCAATGTTTTCAGGCTGTTGGGATGCTGTGCCATGGATGTCCCCATAGAAGCCCAAACTAGCCCATTACCCCATTCTTCCCCAGCAATCCCCCAATGTCTGATTTTGCTGTCTTGATGTGATGCTTATGAATATGCAAGATGTCCTTGCACTTTAAGGAGTCTGTTGCTTGTGGGAAGACAACTGGTAGTCAGAATACAAGAGGTTAGGGGATGCTTGGATCTCCTCCATTTCGTCTGGGATGCATCCTCTCAGTACTAGGATGTTGTATTTGAGGTGTTGCTTGATTTTCAGTCCTACAGCTCAGCTATTACACGGCTTTAAAATTCATTTGTGATGTTAAAATCTGTTTACGAACATTAATGGGTTAAGAATGTGAATTGAAATAACCCTTCTAATGGTGTCAGACTTATTTTATGGTAGTGCCTTTGCCTAACTGATGAAAATTGTGTAGCTGTTGGATTTTTGTTGTTGGGGAAAACCACTAGGGAGGCGCTGTTGAGCTGGAGGGGGTTACCAGCAATGCGGGGCTCCTGTAGGAGCGCGTGAGGCTCTTGTCCCAAGCTTTAAGTGCAAGTGTTGGGTGACAAATGGGGGACCTATTGTCTGGGGATCCTGCCACTGAATTGAAAAAAAGCTACCCCTTGGGTGGGGTGAGCCCCAAGGTGGGTTGTTGCTGGCTGCATGGCTGTTAGCTCCACTTCCATTCTTTCAAAATGGCTTGTAAGAGCACCACTTCCTGTCCAGGGAGGAAGTAATTTTAGCCCAGGCACTGAAATATTTAGCAAATCTTTAAAACAAAAGGCACAAATTCCATTTCTTTCTGGTTTCAAAAGGGTGCCTGAGCCACATGGGGTTAAGGTGCCCCTTCAGCTGGGGTAGTTGGAAGAAGCCAGGGCTGTGGGGGTAGCAGGCACCCTTTAGGTGGAGGCTATCTCTTTTTTTGGTAGAAATGAAGGGGTGGGTCTATGGTACATCACCTGAGTTGTGGGGTAAATGTAGAGAGTGTCAATCAAAGGCAGAGCTCAGAGCTGGGAAGGAGCTCTAGATGGCGGCTGTGCCTTAGAGAGAGCGCGCTCAGCTCCGTGCCTTCCCCAACACTTTACGCAACTTTCCCTAACTTTCGGGCAGCCTCAGGGGGCCCCCACAGCCCCTTGCCTCTCCTAGGCACTGATCGGGGGCCGAGCGGACCTTTTTCGGGCAGAAAAGCAGCTTTTGAGGGCTCCCTTTTCGTGCCTTGCTGGAAAGAAGAAGCCGTGGAGAGAGCCCAGGTCGTTGTTTTTCCAGCTTAGAAGCCATGGCGTACCTCCATTTTTGTGCGCTCTCCTAATGAGCTTTTTTCCCCCGGACATTTTTGTACTAATTATCGCTTCTTTTGCTTTATCGGCAGCATATTTTTGGGATTAGAATATATATTTTTTTTTCATTCTCTGAAATTCGTATTTTATCATTATAACTAAATATTTTGGATCTAATGTTTTTCCACTACCCGAAACTAATATCGACTTGGTCCTGGCGGCGGTGCATGGATCAGGTAGGTGAACAATTAATAATAATAATTTTTAGATTTCTGCCGTTTTGAGTACTTTGATTTTTGACCGATTTGAGCTGTATTGGGATGACGCAATAAGATACAGAGATTATTTGCATCCAGTGTTACTTTGGGAAAGTTTGCAGGATGCTCCTCTACTGTGTTTATTCTCGGATTTTTCTTCTAAAAATGATTATTTGTTTTAAATCTCTATTTTGCCGTGTTGATCGGTGTTGTGTATTGTTATAACAATATCATTGCAGCGTCAGGACTTCGTTCCTGATAATGAAAGCCAGTGAAACGAACTGGGACCTTACCTTTCTTTCAACTTTTGACAGTAAATACCTGGGCACAGGACTTCAAAGCAAACAGACACCCCTGACCCCCTCTTAATATTTAAGAATAAAAAGATGATGAGAAATAAGGACAAAAGCCAAGGAGAGGAGGGTTCAGTCCACAGCAATGCATCGAGGTATGATCTATCAACTTTCTTTTTTTTTTTTTTTTTTGTAAAACCTGTGAATACCGTTTACTTTGACAGCCTTGGGTTTCTGTCAGTGCTTAATACAAAACATTTTACTGATTTTGCTTCCTTTTTAAGGAATGACCTTGAGATTGTTAGCATGCCACACCCTAATTTTTTTTGGTAGCAATTTCTGAAAGTTGTGTTGTGACTTAAGGGCCCATGTCATAGTCAAAAGGTACTGTACCTTTATTCAGGGGAGCCCTTTCCTCTGTATTATGTTTTTCCAGCTTTTGAATTTCAGTTTTTAGGTTTTTTGTGCTGTGAAAAACGACCTTGTCGGTTTAGCCATTGCTGCATTGCACCATTTTACATACAAGGCAAATTTTTCTTTGAAGAATCTCAGAAGTCTAAACTTTAACTGAGGGCCATACAGAAGCCTGGTGTAGTAGTAAATTATAGTAAATAGACACAAGGAAAAGTTACATGAATGAAAAAAAGCTCATTTTAAAATATAAACTGGAAAGTGCCTGTTTGTCTGATACCCCTTACTTCAAATTTTATTTGAGCTTGTAGAACTTTGATACTGTTCAAGTATTTTAGAATATTTTTATACAATTTAACCAGACTTTCCTCTGCTGGTGATAGCATTTCGTGTCATAAAATATACACTGGGACTGTTAACAAGAGGCTCTAAATGCTTTGCTTGTATGTTTAATGTATTTTTGCTCAGAGTGTTTTTATTTACTTTTGTTGATTAATGAGATTCTTTACAGATTTTTATAAACTTAACCTTGATGTGGGAAAATATGAAATACTGGAAATGTTTGTTTGCTAGGAATGCAGAAGTATAATTACGGAATTGCTCATTTTGTATTTGAAGGGTCGGCTTTTTCAAAAACTGGAAATTAAACTATATGCATTTTTGTTCTCTAGTTTGTAAACACACTTGAGTTTTGCATTTTGTTAATTTTAATTGAATCGTGACCTGTTTATTTTTCTCTGGTGTTGTCTTCAGTAATTTTTAACTAACGTCAATAAAAAAGAATTCTGAACTGTCTGGTGTATCACATGTGCTCTATGTGATGTTTGCAGGTGTTTGAATAGTATTCTTGATGTCCAGTATTTAACCTTCCTTAAGCACACAAACTTGAAATACTGTGGGATATATATATTATCGAATTACTGTAACCTTCTAGCATAAACTTGGATGGTGTTCTGGATGTATTAAAATTGCAGTCAAATTTTAAATCCTAAAATGGATATGGGTAAGTTTGTTTAATTTGAAATTATTATTAACTAAATTAGCCTCAGGGACTGTTGAGGCATTATGTATAGCACCTATACAGAGCTTTTATAATAATGCAGTTTAAAAACACATCAGACTTTCAAACAATGCTATCTTTATATTACTGTAAATACTGCACACAAAATACTGCTTAAAAAGTCAATTTTAAAAAAAATTACTTATGATTCAGCTTATTTAAGTCTTTATGCTTTTTTTAAAGTGCAGATTATCAGCAAGAGCAATAATAAGTATAATTTGTTCAGGAAATCTAAATTAAGGTATTTTACTGGTTTTAGAAATACTATGCTAAATAGGAGATGAAATTGGAGACATCTAGCAGTAGTTCCACAGGAAGACGACCTTTGGGGTTTTTTGTCCTTAGGGGTATTATATTTGCATAGTCTCATGTGTGCTTTTGGTGTTTTCAGTGAAAGGTTATTTATCATAATTGA